CTTTGGGGCAGTCCAGCCTTGGGTGTGTCCTTGGCCATTCAGGCTCTGTGCGGGGTCCCACTGAGGCAGCTGGGAGCCTGGGCAGTGCATTGCCCTGGGTGAATAGGTATTCCTAAGTGGGTCAGGCCCAGGCCCCCAGCAGAGCGGCCCAAGGGCAGCTCGCCTCTTGCCGAAGACACACAGGGTCTGGTGTGCGTAATGCCCAGGAAAGGCCTGGGGGCTTGTGCAGGGCTTGGCCCCCTGCCCCCTGCTTCCCCCTCCCCCTCCCACACAGATGGCATCATTAAAAGTTAAACCGTCTGCGATGGGGGGTGGGGGAGAAAGTGGATGCGGCTTCCTCCCAGAGGTGATTTCATCACGCTAAGTGCTTGTGCAGCCTTCATGAGGGCCACCGGCCGCCTGTCCACCCAGGGGGCTGGGGGTGGGGTGGGGTTTCATTGTACCTAGGGAAGGAGATGTCTCCTAGAGACCTTGACCAATGTTTTGAAAGCCCCCCTGGGGTGGGGTGGGGTGCGGTGGGGCGTGGTCAACCCCACGCTCAGGCGGTGCGGGCAGACTTGATCAGTCAGACGAGGCAGAAGAAGACGAGGCTGCCGTTCCGCCTGTGTTTGCCGGGAGGCTCACGGTCGAGAGATGCCTCCAGGATCTTCCAGTCCGATTGCTGTGCCAGCCAAGGGGCTGTTTGTCATGAGCAAGGACTGCTTTAGAGACCGTGGATGGTGCTGCACCAGTTGCTGGCCCATGGTAGTGCATGCCACCCCCCCCATTGTTGTCAAGGCTCTTGCTCTTTGGTGCTCAGGTGAGCTGACCCAGGGCCCATCTTCAAGGGCAAGGTTGGAACTGGGTGGCCTGGACTCTCAGAGCCACCCAAATGGCTAAGGTATTGAAGTGAGGGGGTCAGCAATATTGCTTTTAGGGCGCATCCGCCCACACACACAGCTCCAGGCAAGCTTTGTTGGGGGCACAGGACACCAGCGACAGGGAGGGATGGTCCAGCTGAAGAGGAGCAGCTGAAGTGACCCTTTGTCCCCACTGCCCTTGGGAAAGGGCACTCCAGGCCAGTTCCACGGGCACCTTTCCTGGGGCAGATCTGCAGGAGGTAGCACTGAGACCAGAGCAGGCCCAGACCCAAGGGGACAGACCCTCACGTTGCCATCGTGACCCCACAGCCCTCTTCAGCGTCGTTTTCATGCTGGCTCATCTGGACATGAGCTGAGTCCAGCTGCTTTAGATAGCTAGCACCCTGACTGAGGTAGTCTCCACTCCTGGCCCTGGGAGCAGCCGTTTATGGGCCTCCACCATGTGAACACAGCGTGCTCAGGCAGAGGTCACCTGGCTCCTGCCACGGTCTGTCTCCACCCTACCAGGTCTTCCTGCACTGTCTGCCTAGCTGCAGTCTGAGCCTTTTTGGCAGGGAACGTACAGGGGTACAAACACACACACACACACACACACACACACCACCTC